CAGCAGGATTTCACCTCAGGTGTATCCTTTTCCTCTTATGTTGGCATAAGCCTCTTCGAAACAAGGTTATATACGTTCAAAGTCAAGAATTGCCGAAGTGGTTCATCTGTTTTTCTCATTAAAACAGTAATGCTTTCACACAAGCACAACCAAACAGGAAGAATGTCTCCACATGGCAAACATGCTTGTGCCAAGCAGTCTCATTTTCACCACAGGTGTTTGTCAGTGATCCTGAAAGCTGGGCTGAATATGTGTCAATAGCATTGTAGGTTCACTGTTTTCTAAAAACACAGAGATCACCTTACACTAGGATACATTAGGATAAGGGAGGTGGTTCTCTGGTGCATTTCTGTGAAATATCCAGCCATTGCAGAGGAAAAAAATCTGCTCTTCAGAGTATTTTTATGAACTTGCTTCGAAGTTCTAGCACAGAAAATAATGAATCAGAGCACAGATATATTGTAAAGAAAAACAAATTAACATTTATTATGCATAAGAAGAAAAAAAAAACTCAAATATTTGACACCAACTTTTTATTGATTTTTGTGTAAAACAGAGTCTATGGAAAAATAGGTAAAAGCATTACTAGTAATTTATAATAGCCCTGTTCAGAGAGACAACACAAACAAATTGACAAAGTCTGAATACACAACTATGAAGAGAGTACCAGGAAAACACTGCACATGGGGGACATACGCTCACTGCAAGACACCGCCAGCATGGCATGACAAACAATATATAATGTGAAAGATTCAAGTCATCCTAACTGTCACCTATTTTAAAGTCTGCAATCCAGGTAATTCAAGCAGTATCATGTAGTGATACAATATCAATACTGCAATGTTATTCATTACATTTACAGAAAATACTGCAAGAAGGACGTCCAGTGAATCAAAACGTTTGTATCAGCAGATGCACTGTCTGAAAGGAACTATGCATATGCATCTATTGCCACTGCGTATATTCATCTGTACTGCTGAAAACTTCATACCGAAAAAGTCAATCTATCTAATCTTTATGCAGCTGATATATCCAGCTTTGAATTGATCACATTCAGAGGAATGTTATTTCCTAAATATATTCATACCTGAATACACTCATTCATTTCTAGCCACTTGGGAAGTTGTCGCCTTATATGAATTTGTTAATTTTCCTTAATACTAGCTGGGCAGCATGTATAGCTAATAAGGACACATACATAACATTTTATAGCTAGTGTCAAATAAGAAAAATACATATTTTCTCATGTTGTTACATCATAAAATGCACAGTGTTGCAACAGAAAGTTAAACATGGCACCAAGTTACAGGTAACATTACCACAAGATAGATAGGCAAAGAACTTACAAAACAGAAAGAAGAATCTCCAGTAATTAACCTAATTTGAGAACATGGGGGAGTTAATTAACTTGTACATAGTTAATTAACTTGTACATAGGGAAGATTAATAGAACTGTAGGATAAAAAGTAAGTCAAAAATGGAATCCACAATAGAACAATATTTTAAACAATGTTTAGAAAAATACCTTAGTATACATAGAAAACAAATGACGTTGCTAAATAGCATTAAAAGTGTTTAATGTTTCCATTTCTTAATAAGATGTGTAGATTTCTGCATTACATATTAAGCACTATTCTGTTTTTATAGAACATGAATGAAGTGAGGGTTATTTTCACATTAGGCAGGGCACCCTTACAATTAATAAGCAATTTATATAATGCTACACAAACATTTTCATAGCAGACTATTCCTCTAAATATGTACTTATTCTCCAAGGTAACTAAGAAGCCCAAATGAATTTAGTTGCTTATCGTCAGGCAATCTACACTGGACTTTTAGCCCCAGAACTTTTTCCTCAAATCTTGACTCCAATTGAGAAGCTCTTATGCAAGTCCTGCTATAGAATTCATTGTATTTGCTTCATCATGTGGATAAAGAGATAAATGTGACTAAACATTTGCACCCTATGACAGATGTTGTG